CTCATTATTCTGTACATAAAAGTATTACGGTAAGATTATCAAAAACTGAATATTTTACGAGATATTTTATTTTTTATATCAAAATATGTCAGATTAAAATATAAAATAACTCAAAAAGTACTTAATGAAAAAATACTTTATTATAATGTTTTGAAAAGCTTTCGAGATAAGCTACAAGAATATGCAATAAAAAATGGGGGGTTCCATTTAAGAAAATATCGATCACATTGACTTGGCCTTGAAAAGGTCACTCAAGGTCAAGTCCATATTTTCATCATGTGTCCCCCTCTGAACCCTACAACTTTTGTATAAAACATTTTTTCCATCTTGCTTACTTTACGAGATATTTGTGTGCGTTGATAAAAATTACTCACCCTGTATAATAAAATTTTTTCAACATTTTTATAATTATATTTATAATGCAATATATGTGTAAAAATATATAAATAAAACATTTTGAATATAATGTAATATATAAAATTATATAATTAAAATTTAGTTAAAAGTGGAGCTAAATTAAGTTTAAATATTGTTAATTTTTATAAATCGAGAATGCAAAATATTTAGTCAAATAATTATTTTTTCTGCATAAAATTTTATTGCATTTAATTGTATTATTATTTTACTCATTAGCAATATATGTAATTAGCATTAATTAAACCTTTATTTTATATAAGCGTGTTTTCTATTTGAAAATCATTATAATCACTAAGAATTTTTATTAGTGCAAAAAAAAATATCATTGCAAAAATATAATTATTAAAAATTATTGTCGTATAACAGAAGAACATATTTCATAATATTGTTACCTGTAACTGTTTTCTCTTAATTGTGCACATAATTGAATTGATAATAGCTTCCATAAGAGTTATCACATGAGACAAGTGTTTCATTAACTCGCCGACATCATTATTTCGAGTTTTATATGCATACATTAACATTGGTATCCACACTGTTATGAATATGAAGATACTAATGCAGCAATAAAAGTTACGAAGAAGGAGTTCGTTTTTTCCAATATCCGGATTCGGCGGCCACGTATTAGTAATGGTTCCTAATACTCGGAGGAAATAAAATATCTGTTGGAACTTCAGCTGAATGACTGCCATATCGTAATATTAATTTTTATTGTATAATATGTTCTGAATAAATACGAAGCACTAAGCAACGCTCAAGAAAATACAATATTGCAGGAAGAGAAATGATAGTTAGGGGTAGAACGGTGCGATCAATAGCGCATTATTTATTTGTTGGCTAGAGTTTGATCTTTTATGGTAATTACTAGTACCTATTCCTATAATCATGGGAAATAAAGTAAAAATACATGCGATATATAGCACGCATAAACTCCTCGATAATTGCAATAAGTATCTATATCATTGTTGATCTGTTTTTTGCTTCTACTACTCTGTAATTTTCATAATTTTATAGTAGCACGCATAGATCGCTACTTCATTTATTTCGTTTAGTTAGAAACTTGAAGTACTATTTAAGTATGGAACCGTAAATAAAAAATTGCTCCATTAACTTGCTCCTACATTAACTTATTTTTTATAAAGCAGCAGTACTGCAAAGCTGGAGGAAAGTTTGAAGAAAAAAAAATAAGTTTACAGCGATAATGTTGAAACAATTTAAAGTAATATTAATTAAAGCAAATTTTTTACTTTTTTGTAAATGATAATTATTCTAAAAACTTTCAAACTATCAAATATAATTTTCAGATATTAAAAAAAAATATTTTTAAATTAAATATTAATACATTAAGTATAACAGATATATACATATATATACAATATTGAATACAATACTTTAAAAATAAGAATCTTAGTTTTAGATTAAAAGAAAAAAAGAGACATCATATGTTTTATCATACTACCAAAACATTATTTTATTATCGATAAAAAGTTCTACATATTTATAGTAAAAACTGTGAAAAATGATAAAACAATGACAATAATATTATACTATAAAATAAAAAGATCACAATCTAATAAAAAAAATATTGTATAGATTATTCGTATTCATGCATTGTCTAAAAATAAATTTTATATAAATATTATATTTCTTAATACTCAATTCTTAATTATTCAGCATCATAATCTGAACAACATATGTCGTAACATTATGACGTAAAGTCATTAGGTCATGGTGCATGAATATTAAAATTTACTTACATATCAATCTACAGTATATGTTAGAATAGAAAAAAATTATATATAGGTCATAAAAGATGTTAAATACATATAAGGGAGACATGATCCTCATTCACAATTTATGAGTATGGACATGCATTAAATAGAGCGATTTTAGTGGCAGAATAGTGGCGTCTCTGCTAATAGTTAAAGATAAATTACATTTTCCTTTGTTTCTATCTTAAAAAATAATACAAAAATATTGGTAAATATAAGCCAGTCTATTAAAATTAATACATTAATATATTTTTGATTATTGAATATATGTATATATTTCATTATCTATTTTCAGCTCTTGTTAGTCTCTCTTTCAATCAATAAATAAATTTATGAAAGCATTTCAATGATAACATATATGTAAACATTTTTTATCTTCTAGTAGAAACATTAAAAAAAATTCTTTTACCAAGTATTAAATTTCTATTTGATCCCAAGATAATGTCTTCTTCGTGTCGTTTGCAATCAATGCTAATCTTCATGTTTGAATAAATAAATCATAATTGTGTTTCCTAGAATAATTTATTAATTACCACTGTACAACATTAAACATGTTCACGATGAAAAATTGTCTTGTTAATAAATGAGTTATCAATTTACACCATTTCATTAACCATCCCACTTACAATTTCACCAGAAATATTCTATACCGGAAAGAGCATCAAAAGTGTTTCTCTTTATCCTTACGTTTTGAATCCTTTAAATAATGATACAGTTACGTTTGAAAATTCATCAACTGTTCCGTTTTATAAAAATAGGCAATATTATAACGGATACGTGGCCGAATGATCCTAATAAGGGGAAGTTTACTTTTATTTTGCGAGAAATTGATTGGAGTTTTACGTTCTTGAATTTACTTGCCATATTGATGTCATTTATATGTTCTGTTTATAACTACTGGGACGATGTAATGACAGTGATGAAAGCTCTAGCGCAATTTGTTACTGGGATGGATTTCCTACTCAATCTTATCATATTCAAATTGAGGAAAACGCACATACAGGTATTCGCAATGCATTTCATCAACTATTATTCTCGAATGTTGTTAGGAAGTGAGATATATTTTGTATAGTAGTGTACTTACCCATTACACAATGTCACATTATGTTTGATATTTAAATAAGTAAATAAAGTTTCTCCAGGTATACAATTAATAAAATCTCATGAATTTTTATGCGTGCTCTAACTAATAATAATATTATTTCAAACAAAATATATATTGTGTTATTTAATTTTATTATTTATGCTCTATCGTTGAACACATATTTTTTAATTTATTAATAAAAATGTTAATTAAATTTAGAAACTACTGAAAGAAATGGAAGATTTTCTTCGCACTTCCAACGACAATGAAAAAACTATTCTGCAAAAATATACGCATCGTTATTCCAGCTTTTTCGTATTGGTTGCAATATGTCATTGCTTAGGCTCTTTCGGCTTTTGCTGCGGTCCTATTTTTCTTTCGACGAAGTGGCCTATTGAAGTATGGTACCCATTTCCTATTGAATCGCCGATTGTGATATGTATCCTCTACGCCTTACAAGTATACATTATCATGAAAGCTGGACTAAATTGCATCGTAATCTTGATGTTTGGCATGTTTTTTCTGTATTCATCTGCAAGATTAGAGATGTTATGTTTAAAAATACAAAATGCGAAGAATAAAAGGCAGATAAATTCATGTATTAAGAAACATCAGAAAATAATCAAGTAAGTGATTAAAAATCTAAAAAACTCTTTAAAAAATCGTAAAAGTATATAAAGATGTAATAAATTTTTAGATCTTTTTTACATCTCTATTGTATTGAAAATATAATAAAATATAATCAATTTATTAATATTTTAACATAATAATATCAATATTTTAACATATTTTAGCATAATAATATATGGCAAGTAATAAAAATATAACTTATTTTTCGTAATTAGATTCATGAGTGAAGCAAGTCATACTGTGCGATATATTCTTTACAAAACAAACATTGTGATGGCGACAGCTATTATTTTTAGTACTTTTCCATTTATTCGCGTATGTTATATTCTTATTAATATGTATGTAATTATTTCTTATTATAATCATTCTCGCCTTTTAGCGATATTTATTTAACTTTTATTCTAAATTTATTTTATTATTTAATATAGGGACGATCGTTATGGGTATCATCTCAATTTATTTTTATGATAATCAGCGGATGTCAAAGATTATATCTTACTGCTTGGACAGCTGACAATTTAATGGAAAATGTAATTAATAGAAGTTGAAGTTCTTTCTTTATTTAGTAAATTAATAATAAATTATGAACAACATAAATGTAGCATATTTGAGTTTATATGAGTATAAGAATTGTTACATTTGTATAATTATTTTGTCAACAGAAATTAATCAATTTTATTAAAATATAAAATATAAATTAATAAACTTTATTAAAATAATGATCAATTAATAACGATACTGTTACAATTCCAGAGTATACAGGTTGCAATGGAGATATATAGTATACCATGGTTTGAAAACTCACAATATAACACTAAAGATATATGTTTTATGATTCAAAGAAGTCAAATGCCGCTCGGAGTCAACATAAGAGGTCTTCTGCCAACATTATCTCTTGAATATTTTACTAAGGTATATCATATTTTTTTTTTTTTTTTTTTTAATGTTGTATACTTTACGATAAAGTTACAGTAACAAGAAAATATAATGAAGGATTTTTGCGATTACAGGGAATTTTCATGGAATTTTATTGGGATTCTGGAAAGTTTTAAAAAAATTTTCTTTTTGGTTTAGCTCTTATATTGTAAGCAGTTGACAAGTCAAGTGAATTATATGTTTAAA